CAGGACAGCCTCAGTTTTCACCCAGGAGCAAGGGAAGCACTCCCTACTCTGAATAATTTCTAAAGAGACAATAGTGAGCTACATACAGACGGGGTCTAATGACATCTCCTTGAGTCCTGCTTGCTCACTGCTCATAGAGACTTAACCCGGGAGGGGGGGGGGTCAATTTTCAGTTGCTCTAGTGTTTGGTCTTTAACAGTAAAGCCAAATGTTGTCGTGATATTTGAAAAGTATTTCTATGGACAAAAATGTACACTTTCAATCCCAAAACATTCCACCTATGTCTCCATTTGCTGTGTAGTTGGCGGGGAGGGTCTCTGAGGTCAGTTTTGTACTCAGAAAAGGGACAGTTAGGATCTGCTTTTGTTTATAAATTAATTGCTATTTTAGTAAAGTTACAAATCCACAAATCAGGCTCCCCATCACCTTTTAGATTCAGTATTGTTTCATTTTATTTATAAATCTAATAAAATTTAACAGTCACTGTAAGGGGTTTTTATTATTCACTTACTTTAATTATCTTAAACATTTTAAGTGACTTTTATAAGTTTAATTTATGTGATTTGCTTTTCAAGTACTTCAACTATGTACAAGACTGTGAAATTCTTTTTTTTTAATTTTATTGAGTTATAATAAGTTTACAATGTGTCAATTTCTGGTGTAGAGCACAATTTTTCAGTCATACATGAATATACATATATTCATTTTCACATTCTTTTTCACATGAGCTACCACAAGATCTTCTATATATTTCCCTATGCTATGAGTATAAACTTGTTTATCTATTCTGTATATACCTGTCAGTATCTATCAATTTCAAACTCCCAAGACTATGAACTTCTTACAGTAAATTCGACTAAAGTTTGTATCCCTTTCAAGTAAAACTTGTAAGTCCCAATCAACTATTTGATTTTACACTTTAAGTTGGAATCACAAAACTAATTTTTGATATTCTAATGTGCTAAATTCAGAATATTTTATGTACTTATTGCAATATATCCAAATTATTCTTAAACGTATCACACATTTTTATAGTATTAAAGTATTATTATAATATTACTGCTTTAAAGTATAAAGTACATATTAATATATAAATACTTTAAAAGATATTTAGTCACATAAGAAAGCAAGGCATTCTGAACAGAGATTCACATATCTGAGAATGCATATCTACTAGAGTGATATTCTTGAAAACCGTGATTTTTAATGTTTCCATCATATGATGTCATATTCTTGCACCAGAATTTAGCTTGCCCACCCCTATTGGTTTGCTTCACTTTCTGCCTGGAGTCAGACTGCGATTAACACTGTGGACACACTGCTTTGTGTTTCTGAATGTTTCCTCAGCAGAGGCACACGGAAAACTATAGCTGTTTTTCAGAACTCTTGATAAATATTTCCTGATTGCCTATCCAAAAGCTTGTCTCCAGTCTGCATCCGATGAATACTGTATTATAACCAATATCTCACCATATCCTCAGCAGCACTGAGTATAATCTTTTACGATCACCACCACCAACATCATCATCGGTATCACCTCTGCCAGTCTGCACGTGGGCAAATGAAATCTCACTATTTGGGGTTCACTTACTTCATCGCCAGTGCAGTTGAACGTGCTTTGCGTGATCATTGTGCGTTGAGCTTTCAGGGTGTTCCTCACCCTTTTGGTCAGCGGGATGCCAGCGGCTGGGGCGGACCGCCCGAAGGCCAGACCCTGGTGGAGCCGCCACCCTCCAGGGCCCCCGACCGGCCAGGGGGGCGCTGCGCC